ATAATGAAGTAAGGTAAATGGAGATTAATATCTTAGTCTAGAGATGACGAAATAATGATTCAGAAAATATATTTTTCATATAAGTTCAATCTGGAAAATTTCTATATAGATTTCAGAAATATTTTATATTCTAATTCTTTCTATTTGAATTGGGATAATTATTCAAATGAATTGATATTCTATATTCTAATTCTTTATATTTTCGAAAAGCGAAATATTTGAATTTATTTTATAAAATGACGCGGAGCCATTTATTAATTATTTTGTTTTCCGAGCTTGGAAATCAGTAAATTCTCGCGATTTTGAGGATTCCGTCCGGCGCGAAAATATTGGACGAAATATCTGAAATTCTGAAAGTTTTGAGGATTTGGTCTCAGATGAAATCCTGAAAATCTTGGAGATATCTAGATTTTATTCGATCGGAAATTCTTGAGATTTTTGGGATTTCGTCCAATCGTTGTTTACGGATAAAATTATATTATTCTTGAGAACGGCTATGTTTCGTCCGATCGGATTTTCTCTGAAATTTGAAGAATTCGTCCGTTTATTGCTCTATTCTTATTGAGATGAAATGCATTCATTCTCGAGATTTTGATTCTGTCGTTTGGAATGTAGTATCGCCATTGCAAGTTTCTAAGTCGCGAAATTTCATATATTTGCAGATTCAATTCTTTGAATATATAATATTCGGAAGAATTTAGTAATGAGGATGATGATCATAAATTATTATCATTATTCTTCTTATTCTCATTATTATTGATGATTTCTGAATAGATTTTATTATCGTATTATTTAATAGCTTGAGATTCTAAAATTTGATATATGAAATTTTGAGAAATATAATGCCTCGCATCTATCAGGCAAGCTACCGCGGCAGGAAACTTCTAAATAGAAAATTGATTTTTGGATTCATTCCTGCCCCTGCCTTGGATGACGTGCGTGATTTCTGAATATCTGCGCTTTAAATTTTGCGAATTTGGGCTTTGGGACTTCCAGATTTAGAATTTTGGAATTCAGGGAGCTATATATATAGATTATCTACGATATCTTATTTCGCGTTCCAGCTCTTGATGTTGCCCGGATGTTATATCAACCGCTTCCTGGAATGCAGTACCACGTATTTGACGCAGAGATTTCGGAGATATCTCTAAATGAGTATAATCTTTTCGTGCACCAGGCACGGCATATTGATATATAATATACGGCTCAATTTTTTGTATCAAGAGCTGGTCGCGCAACGTCCTATTGATCTATGCGTTGGGGTTCCAACTTATGCAGATAAAATCAGAAATTTCTTTTCATATTGGAGATATGATTCCAATTATATTATGATTCTGGGATATTCAGTAATTTGTCCTGCCTGTCATTGGCATTTCTTGCAGTGCTGACTCCAGCTATTGTGTTCAGGCTGGGGCTGGGCGAATCCATGGCTGGCGGATGCGCTCTGTGCTTAGCACGCAGGACCTGCTTCATTATTCGTTGCCGGCCGGCAGATTTTGCAGAATAATGGCGCCTGCCTGGGGATAGGAGAAATTATGATTGTTGCGTCAAGCGTGATAGATCTATTGCGCAGGCAGAGCTACCCGCATTTGCGCAGATATATTATTCTATAGATTGCTATTTTGCCAGGGAAATTTGGATCTGGCGAAAAGAAGGCATCTTGATTCAATTTGTTGACGCGCCGTGCTCATATTAAGCTGATTCTGCATTTATCATTATTGCGCAAGGTGGCGACTAGTAGCTCAATTCAATTTTTGCCAATTATCCTTGCCGTCATGAATATATAATTTCTGCTTGCTATTTCTGGAATGCCTCTGCTGGAATCCGCGGAAATGATCGAATGATGCTAGTTGCCGCCGCAAGAGGTTGGCAGGGAGTGACGAATATGGGTGGCGGTGGCGGGAGGTGGCAGTGGCGGTGGCGGTGAATGGCGATGGGAGACGGTAGGCGGCGGCAAAGGGAGACGGCGGAAAGTGGCGGTGCCAGCAGGCGGTGTCGAGGGCGGACGGCATCGGTGGCGGTAGCGGTAGCTGGGCCTGGCGGCGACCGTGGTGGTAGCAGCGGAAGTAGCGGTAAGAGATGGTGGCAGTGACGGTCGGTGGCGATAACGGTGGAGGTCGGTAGCGGTGAAGGTGGCAGTAGCGGTAGGCGGTGGCGGTCGTGGTTAGTGGGGAGGACGGTGGAGGTGTCAATAGCGGTGCATGCCGGTCGGAAGCAATCACCAATATGATTCCCAATATCCGTCGATGAAATTCTGAGTCCTCTCTAATAAATTATATCTTGATGAAATTCTTTATCGATTTTATTTATAATAAAATGAATTAGAATATAATTACGATAGAAAAAGAAATGAAGAAATAAAGATGATATAGATCATGAATAGATATAGAGATGATTCTATCAAGAAATATCTAAAAATAATGAAATATATGATTGAGAGCGAATCTGAAATGGGAAAATAGATATCGTAAATCGATAGAGAAATATATAAAATTAGAATTACGAAAATTCTATTTCTTAATTATTCATAGATTTTATTATCAAAAATCTAAATTGATACCCTTAGAATTATCTATGAAATTATTAAATTAATGAATTTTAGAAATTATGAATATGATATATAGAAATCGTCAATGAATATTCATATCTGATAAATTCTGTAAAATAGAAAGATCTTAATATATCCCTTTATATACTAGAATCTTTATTCTTGGGACCTCAAAAAAATCATTACTTATGAGAAATCCCCATTGATTGAAATTAATTCAGCGGCCGCGGCGGGCTGGACATAACGATGGTAGGGCATGCTGTCCGTGGCGGTCCAACAAACGGTCTGCGCGGTCCCTGGCAGCAGCCCCTGCGGCCGGGCGCCTACGAGGACCCCCCGCTACAGATATCATATGAAGAAATGATATTCTAATTCAAAAATATGTTCATTCAAATAAATCTCATAATTTTATATCAACTATCAAAATGAAGAAATATTAGAGATAGAAATGAATTGAATCCAATAAATATAGAAATATGAGAAAAAATAAAAAGAATAATCTATATATAGAAATAAATAGAATTAAATAGATAAAGATCTGAAGATAAAGATTTTAATCGAAATAAATAATAGATAAATAAAAAGAAATAATTGGAGATAGATAAAGATAAAAGAAATTGATAGAAAGAGAGAGAATCAGATAGAAAGAAAGAGAGAAATATTTGAATGATTGAATTATAGATATAGATAATATTCGATAGATAAATAATATCCTTATAATAATTTCGATAGTGAAAGAAATAAAGATAAATGAAAATTTATATGAAAAAAAGAAAGAAAAAATAGATAGATAGAGAAGATAGAAATAAATTCCGATAGAGGCGTAGATTAGAATCGTTAATCATTCATAGAATTCTTATTGATAAGAGATCTCAATATTATTTCTTTTTTAGTATTATCCGCCCTTGCAATGGGGTTATTAGATTTCAAAATAGATCTTGGATTCGCCCGATTGCAAACTGATTTTATTGACCAAATACCAAATATCCTTGGGACGCCCAATCGCTAAATATCTCTATGATACCCAATTGCAGAATATCCTCATATTGCCCAACCGCAAAATATCCCTGCAATGCTCCCCACAGAATATCCCTATAATATCCCCCCAGAATATCCTTATATTGCCCAATCACAAAATATCTCTATATTGCCCAATCGCAAAATATCCCTCCAATGTCCAACCACCAAATATCCCTAGAATGCCCAATCGCAGAAGTTCTGCAATGCCCAACCATCAAATATCCCTATAATGCCTATTCCCAAAACTAAAAAAAATGTTTGAAGTGCCCAATTGCAGAAAAGAATATCCGAATATTGCCCAGCCGTCAAATATCCGTGGTCTGCCCAATTTTCAAATATCCTTGTAATATCCAGTCCCAGAATATCCTTGAAATGTCCAACCGCAAAATATCCTCATATTGCCCAATCACAAAATATCTTTATATTACGAGACTTTATATTACGAGGGCGGAGAATAATCCAATCTTATCTTGGCCGTAGAAGAGAATGCAAGCAGCTACAATAGAATTTTAAAATCTTAGTAAATTGAAATAGGCTCGATAGCGTATAAATTCCATATCCGTAAATTGAATCTTCCGAATAGGATCTCCGACCTAGCTTCCAAATTTTCAAGAAGCCTTCAAGAAGAGACGTAGCAACCGCCTCGAACGACAGATAATATATTCCTGTCTACGCAAACATACAATTTTATTCACGTATCCAAGATCTACCGCAATCAATTTGAAAAATTCTCAAAAAAAAAATTATGCTCCCGCCGGCAACGCAATATTCCAGTCTATTCCAAGGCTTCTTTCGGCAGAAGACGACCTCCCCAGGGCCGCCTCGGCTTTTCAAAATATTTTCAGCCGCCTCTTAGACATGAGGGACCATTTCTACGAAATTATAAAATCTTAAACTATGGAAAGAAAGCACTCAATGTTCATTTGGGGGTTGTCCAATACTCCTTCTCCCGGAAATAGCCATTTCGCCGCCCTTTCGTTCTTGATGTCCAGCAAACCTTATCCAATCCTATTTACATGTCCTGTATTTGATAGATTTGTTGAATGCTTGGAAGTTCTGTTGTGCGCAAAGCCCGGCTTTTCATAG